ACCTATTGTCTTTTGATAAGGAATTTGATTGAACATCATTTTCAGGTTTAAGAGTGAATAAAATATTAAAGTTTTTTATTAATCATCTCATTAATAATTTATTCCCAGAGTATTACAACAACAAACTATGAATTTGAAGTATTGATTAATTTGAATAAACTAGAACAAATACAAGACCACAGTAGTAACTAATAAGTTGTCACACTATAATTAAATATTAATAAAACAGGTATATGGCTAATCATTGTCAAGTAGTAATGCAGATAAACCAGAATTTGTAGAGTTTTAACTGAAAAGTATTATTTTGATATCTCACGTCACATAAACTCTGAAACTGTAGTATTGTCTAATGTACACAAACGTGTACAAATACTGGTCCAAGTGCATTGATTACAAGACTAAAGTTCTGCCATACTGGAATACTATCTGAAAACGTTATAATAGAAGCATACAATGTGCTGGATATTGGAGACAAAAAATATGTCTTATGATAGCTACACTTGTTCCAACAATTTTCCTACAGTATGTTCCTTTTAGTATACCTTGACAGACAGTCCAATACTAAAGATTAGTGTCATTTACTCAAATTAAGCCGAAGCTGTTCTTTTAATAATGTCTGGAAAACTTGCTGGTCTGTTACAAATTGGGACATCTTTCGAGATAYTTGAATCAATGTTTTCTTGCCTAGACAATGTTTGACAGAAGTTTGAGAAACAGAATTCACCAAATGGTTATATTGTTGATACAGAGTTTCTGGATCAAGTTGACCATTTGCCAAAAGAGCAAKAATTATTTGCATTAATACTAGTTCCTCATAGGATGTCCAGTGAACTGMTGTGGTTCCTCCAGCCCATATCTCKGTAAAAATTTKTCCACTTTGTGCTTTCGTTGAAGTTTCATGAAGTCTTCGTTTACGAGATGTACATTTTATTTCAACGCTTGTCTGTACTCTCTTACCTCTAGGATTGTCACAATTAATACATTGACACCTTTCAGTACAACCTGCAACACTCTGAAAACATTWACAGCCACTTTTGTATGCAATGCAGGAGAGCAYTGTTTTGTTTTTCCTTTTTGAACCTTGGCCACATCTACAAGATGTCTGTTTGCTATCTGGGTCAGAACACTCTAATAACTTTGGTTGATCTTGCTGAATGGCTGSATTTCGCTTTRTCACAGCATCATAGTGACCAGCAAATTGCATATCATATGCCAAGAATATAGGTGAAGAGCTGACAGGTACACCTCTTGGTGAAACAGGTATGACTGGAAAGTTGGTCATTGCAGTCAGTACCACAATAGGGATTTTTAAGGCATTMGATGCAGCCAGTGGYATTGAGTTTCCAATCTCCGAGGCAAAATAACCATCCMGTAAAAATGCCTTYGCTTCTTCAACAAAGTTTGTTTCCTCAGAAACAAGGAACGGATKATAGTCTGACAYATGTGAGAGCCATTCATTAACAACAATCTGACGTAAGGTCATTAACATTTTACCAGTGTTTCTTTCTTGGAGTTGTATCCCTATACTTTCCAAGTGTGCTATAGCTACATCACTTAAAAGTCCTAGACATGATTGTTCCTGCAACATAGTAGCAAGGGATGCAAAGAAGCAGTTGCCATCACCAGCAATCTTAATACGTTCCATATTGTTTAGTTTGAGYATAGCATCAAGAGTTTGAGCATTGTCTACSTTCATACCAGATGAAAGCACTGGTAAAGCATTCTTTAGATGAATCAAGGAATTAAGTGTTCTTGTTGAATATTGTATGCTGATATCTTTCAAACTCTGGCTCAAAGAATGTAAGTTGGAAGCCTCTTGAATGATAGTGGCAATCCCTTCATTGGTTAAGTAAAGCTCAGATTCCTCACTGTCAGTAGTGTCGTCTGAAGAAGAAAYAGTGCCCTCAGAGTCAGTAGAAGAAGAAAAATCCACATTCTCAGCAAGTAAATGGTTCACACAATTGGCAATTTCCTGYGAGTCTGTGAGGTTATCAGAAAACTCACAATCAGCTGCTTGTGCACTTTCTTGTAAATTGAGAGAACCCCCAAACTTTTCATCTGTAAAACTTTCAGAATTGTTTATATATGTTTCAACTGGATAGAAGTAGTGTAGTTTTTTCCCTTTCTTTAATTTATGGATTYTTTTTTCATTCCACCTATAAAAAAATAGSCCCAAAAATGCAACTGCAAGTTCTATTCCAATCCGGGATCGTTTCAGCGACTTATTTAATGTTCTATRAAGAGCTTCATTTCTGTTTGTTCCAGCAGATGGARGTATATCAGATAGACATCCTTTTTCCACATGTCTTTTAAGCTTGTCTATTTCTCTGAGAGCTGGGGCTGGCAAAATCTCTGTACAATTTATTTTCACACTCTTCCATTCTTTCAAAAAAMTGTCAATATTTTTCAATATAATGTCTGGAGAAGGAGTGCACATAAGTCTTTGATCCCCCTATCTAGTGGATCCCTGAAAAGTAGTCCAAACGATTTAATCAATGTTTTCCTCATACATTTGACTGCTTCAGTACAGCCCTTTTTTCTTGGAACTTTCTTTAAAACTCTTTGTACAGCATGGAAAATATCYAGCTTTACAGTTGTGCCTTTAAAAACAATAATAATTTTCTTTTCCCATGAGCAACAGTTATCAAGGAGAATCATTGATGGACTACTTCCTTGTCRACTGAGTCGCTGTTGTAATAGTTGGAGTGAATTTTCAACTGAAGAAAACTTTGAGCCTTTTGAAAGTTTCCAGCTCAACGCTAAACCATCTTCATTTAGAATAATAAAAAGAGTGTCATAAAGCTTTATCCATTTGTTGTTAAACCAGAAGGCTATGTTAGCAGACACTTTAAAGGTATGATCGCAGCTCAACCATTTTTCACACGTCATTTGTGACATCCTTTGTGCATACAAATGTTCTTTGCTAAAATACTCTTTAATAATAACCGATGTTATCATTTTTTCCCCAGGATTGGCAGAAATTCCTTCAAACTTATAAAATTGAAGACATTGAATGTTTAATCTTTGGCATGCTGTGATGTAAGCATTTTTACGACTGCCATATGCATCATACATTGTTTGCAGCCACATGGAGTGAATATCACTGACTGACATACCCACGTTCGCATGTGTTAATACAAATTTTTCAAGCTCTTTCGTAATTCCAGCTTTATGGAATAACAAAAATGGCACTTGCATCTCAATTTTGATATTCAAAAGAACGAAAGGGTCATGGGCAATTATTTGATGTCCATTTGAGCAAACATAGACTMGGCTGACCAGTAGTGCATTGTTGTGTAAGCCGTATAGATTTCTTGGCTTGTCACATTTTGTATTGCCATTCTTCCATCTCGARGCCTTCAACATATTGTTCAATCCATAGTTATCAACACAATTAGGACACCAAAGCGTCAACGATGGGTGAACACTCAAAGGATCCTACACAATTATGTCAGGAAGGAAATAATCTTCGATATCTACCGAAGAGAGTTTTCTGAGTTCCTCAGCTCTAATTAAAACACCATTCATAAAATGCAAACTTCCTTCCCCAAAGAGAGAGTTTAAAACTACATTTATCGCATTGAAAGTGGCTGTAGATATTTCACGATGACCATAAGAACATTTCAACGAAAAAAACACGAGAAGAAATACACATGCAACTAAGGACGCCATTTTGATCTTGCAGTACTTCAGCCCGCAGTAACAAATGACCGCTTTTAAAATTGCACAGGAAGCCCACGGAGTGCCACAACGAGAACCAGGAGAACCACGAGAACCAGGGGAACCAGAAGAACCAGGAGAACCAGAAGAACCAGGAGAACCACAAGAACACGAAAACCACAAGAACCAGGAGAACCACAAGAACCAGGAGAACCAGAAGAACCACACGAACCAGGAGAACCACAAGAACCACAAGAACCAGGAGAACCACAAGAACCANATGTTTAATCTTTGGCATGCTGTGATGTAAGCATTTTTACGACTGCCATATGCATCATACATTGTTTGCAGCCACATGGAGTGAATATCACTGACTGACATACCCACGTTCGCATGTGTTAATACAAATTTCTCAAGCTCTTTCGTAATTCCAGCTTTATGGAATAACAAAAATGGTACTTGCATCTCAATTTTGATATTCAAAAAAACGAAAGGGTCATGGGCAATTATTTGATGTCCATTTGAGCAAACATAGACTCGGCTGACCAGTAGTGCATTGTTGTGTAATCGTTGTGTAATTTCACGCCAAAACCACAGTCGATTCTATATGTGCGATTTCGTTACAAAAAGTTCTAAAAATCGGCTTATTCCTCTTAAATCCTGTTTTGCATCTGTTAAACATTTACTAGCGTGACAGTCATGTAATTTGAGAGACTTTTTAATGTCGAGCGAGTCGAATGTAAACAGCCCATGTTTCTACTGTACTTTCAACTACCCCTAAACAAAGTCAAATTTCACCATGTGATAAAGCTCTGAATCCAATGAATCTTTGCCTGCTGTATGGTGAAGGAACGGGCTTTTAATTGATGTGAAATTTATTCTGGGGAAATAAATAGATGTTGTGCTACAGCTCGACAAAAGCGTCCATATTTGACCTTTGGAGGTCAACCGCCATAACAAACGAAACACTGACAAGACTACACAATTATTTGTATATAGCCACTAATCTATCTTGAAATGCATAGAAAACCTTCGTAACTATAAATTTTACCTTGAAAAGGGTTCCAGTTGTTCAACAAAGCGTAAATTCTATAAAATAGCGTGCAACTGTAACGATCGACTGTCCAAACTCTCACGTGTATACAACTCAAGTCGCTATGTCGGCCTGCGTCTCTTGTCCAAACTATTAACATGATCTCTTCGTATATATGTTCTTTGTCGAGGCTTGGACTAGCCTGCTTAATCATTCTCCTTTCCTCAAAAGTACTGGTGCTATTTGTTTTACTACTATCATTGTAGGATTTCCACTCACAATCCAAGAATAATGTCAACAAAATTTGAATATATTTAAATGTTGTAACAAAACTCGACTTACTAGGGTAGGGACAGTCTCGGTCAGGCTTGAAACATTTATGTCTCAAAAGTTATTTCAGAGCAGTATATTTTGAATAAAGTCTAATGTTTTGCTTTTCATTGCGTTGTAAACCTTATTGGGTCAAATAATATATTTTGTATCTTTGATGATATGACTAAAAATCCAAAGGGACCCCACATGCCGAGGGCGATGAGTTGACTTGCGACATACGTAATATCATTTGTAATCGTTGCGGTAGCAGTAATCAACATGGAAGCTTGCTGTTCTTTTAAGAGTATTGTAGGTAGCGGTTGCGGGTTCGACACAAAAGATCGAAAACAAAGGACGGAAATTGTAGCATTGCATTCTTGTTGTAAGGATATTTCCAAGCACTTGGCAACTTTGAGTTTTTCCGGGCCTGAGAATGAGATCGAGCTCATCTTGTCTCGAGCTGGTTTGTACGACACGTCAGAGGAAAAAGTGAGGTCCATGACTATATGTCCGCGGCATCGCGCTACACTTGGAATCGGCTGGACAAGAGGCGGTGGGACAAGATGCAGAGTTCCCCAGCAAATATCAGGCCATGGAAAATCAAAAGGAAGTTGGCCAAAAGGTGATCGTGGTATAGGGAATCAAGAGTCTTATATTATACTGCAAAATACAGGCCTTCTTGTACCCCCAGGCTCAGGTAATAGCCCTAATAATGTTTAATTGTTATCATGGAGAAATAAATTATGTTTTAAATTGATCTCGACATTTGGTCCGAAATCAAACGCGCTCACTGCCTGCTTAGGAACAAGACTGGCACGATTTGCGCCCGGGGATTTGCGTTCGATGAAATAACGCGCTCATATTGTTTTATAAAGGAATTATTAAACGATTTTCCACGTTGTAAATGTTGAGTGAATCCCTCGAGTTGATGAAACTAGCCGGATAGCGTCACTCTTGTGCGGGTCTCAATATTAAGCGTGTTCAAGATGTACAACACAGAAAATTGAAAGTTGTTTTCTTAAATTTCAATCTGATTACTGTTCCACAGGAATCTGTAAAACATGTCGAGTCGCTATAAAGGAAATGCCAAAAGATTCAAAGTCGGATGTCAAGCATGTCGCTGAACGAATACAAGAACTAACATTGGTAAATTTAAACTAATTATTTTTCATATCTTTCCACTTATTTCTTCTATTACCTCCACGAGCCACGTGCCACATATAAAACTATCTGTATAAAACGTCTTATAAAACGTCGTACCAAGCAATAAAATATTAAGCAATTTAGTAGATTATTGTAGATATTGTAACTGGTCTTGTGTTATCCTCTTTAGATGATTACAAGTTCATTATTATGTAATTATTATTATTATCATCATCATCATTATCATTTGATTGAATTGTATAATTGTGTCATTTTTTGTTATTAACAGCATGACGAGGCGGTCTCCACTGAGAGTGAAACATTCATGCAGACTCCAAAAGTGACGCCCTTAAAGCCTGAAACACCGCTATCTATGTATACTCTACCACAAAGTGAAACTGAAGATAAAACGGAACTGACGGATACAAGACAACTACTAAACAATTTCTTGAAAGCAAGAGAGGTGAGCCCCATAAGACACCAGCTGACAACACCGTGGGATGACGTCTCAAAGAGAACAAAACGACGCTATGTACATAAAGCAAAACGGGTAGTCCTTACTGCCCTAGAAGAACTTGCACCTTCCGGTTCAAAAGCTTTGTTATCAGCAGTAAGGGCTTCATCGGATGAAGAAGATTATTACGTCGACAAATCCCTCATGGAAGCTCTAGTTGAATGTTATAACAATGCAGGGGACTGGAGTACAAGACGACAAATCTTGTCAATAATGGCTGACAAGCTACCCTACTTATCTCTAAAGAAGTGGATTCCCGGTTTATCAAGATATAGATTTAGTGTAGCAAGACACCACATCCTTCTACATGGAAGAGGCTCTGTTGTTCCTACAACAAAAAGTCCTCGTATGTATGTATCGCCTCAGAAGCTCGATCATTTTCTAACTTTTATCACAAGTGGTCACGTCATACAAGATCTACCTTTTGGAGAAAAAACGTTAAAGCTATCATCTGGTGCCGAAGTTGTTGTGCCAAATGTTGTAAGGACACTGATTCCAGAGCAAGTGGTCCAGCAGTATACAGCTTATTGCAAAGAAACGAAGTTTGAACCAATGAGCAGGAGTAGTCTTTGTAGAGTTTTAAAAGTGTGTAGTGCTTCTGTAAGAAAGTCGCTACAGGGACTTGACTATTTTTCCGCTGATGGCGCTCAAGCGTTTGACCAAATAGAAGAAATTGTGCAAAAGATTGGCGATTACTATGGTAAGGGGCACACATGGGCAAAGTCTCTAATCAGCAAGTTAAAAATGGCCAAACGTTATATGAAAAGTGACTATAAGGTATGTAACGCGTATGAAATTTAGGCGCATAGACGAGTGTCACAAATCATGTCCAAATATATGTTATTCTCTCTTTGTAGGTTCATGTGTCAAAAAGTTCCAGAGTACCAGACCACTGCAGACAACATGCTTTAAGCCAGGAAGGTAGCCAGGAATTCTCCTCAGAATGTGATCATCAACATGATCAAGTATGTGAGAACTGTGAACTTCTCCCACTTGTATTCAGTCAACTAGACACAGCACTGAGCGACATTCCTAATTCCGATGAGAAGAAGGACATGGAATATATTATCAACCAAGGAAAAAAGGATATCCAGGCCTGGAAAGCCCATTTGCTGCGGGCCATTAACCAGGATGAATGCAGAATCGACATTCTTCAAGCTCTCGATCCTTCTTCAGTCCTGATAGTATTAGATTGGGCCATGAAGTGGATACCAAAAAAGTACCGTGAAAGTCAATCAGACTGGTATGGCAAGAAAGGTGTATCTTGGCACATTGCAGTGGCGATAACAAGAAATGAAAATGGCACGTTAGAAATGCTTACCTTTGTCCATGTTTTCACCACTTGTTCTCAAGATAGCTATGCAGTAATGGCTATAATCAACGACGTTGTTGGACAGCTAAAAGCCGAAAGACCCCAACTAAGCAACTTCTCTCTCAGACAAGACAATGCAGGCTGTTATCACAGCGCATTTAATCTTAAAGGATTGAAAGAAGTAGCCAAATTACACAAGATCAATTTGAGAGTAGACTACTCAGATCCTCAAGGTGGCAAAGGATCATGTGACCGGAAAGCTGCGAATATCAAAGGCCATATCAAGGCATATGTTAACTCTGGAAAGGATGTCGAAAATACACTTCAGATGAAAAAGGCCATCGAATCATCAAAAGGTGTCCAGGGTGTTAGAGTGATGCTATGTGAACCACCTGAAATGCCTAGACATGATCCACTCAAATGGGAAGGCGTCAGTGTTATTAATGACATCACCTATAAAGAAAACGGAGTTGAAGTCTGGAGAGAATATGGCATTGGAAAAGGCAAGACCATACAATGGAGCGAGTTTACAGCACCGAAAAAGATTCCTCTGCCTACGATGACAATCAGTGAAACCGCAGTTTTGCCAAAAGCTACATTTGAGGAAGTTTCTGTCAGAAAAAGAAAAGCCTCCACAAGCACAGCCGCAACAAGTTTGACAGAAGATGAGAGCTCAGAAGATGAAGACGAGCAAGTACCCAAGCTATTCCCTTGTACTAATGATGGCTGCATCAGGTCCTTTCAGCGATTTTCGTCACTACAACGCCATCTTGATATAGACAAACACAAATATGCCCTAGAGCGCGAAACTTTCCTAGACAAAGCCATGTTGTCCTATGCTGGAAAACTACACAAAGGAGACGATCCATTGAAAGAATGCACGTCAGATGAAGAAGGAGCTGTTACTCGCACATTGACATACAGTGAATCTCTCCCAATGGGCTGGGCACTGAAATCTTCTACTGTGAAAAGGAAACAGTTCAGTGATGGCCAAAGGAACTATCTAATAAAGATGTTTGATGTCGGAGAGCAAACAGGCCACAAGGTTGACCCGAATACAGTATCACAATCTATGCGAAAAGCTCGAAACGCTGATGGTTCTTCTATATTTGATTCAAGTGAGTATCTAACAGCAAAACAAATCAAAAGCTTTTTTAGTCGCCTGGCAAAGAAGAGACGAGAGGCAATACCTGACGATTCGACTGACGATGAAACAGAATATGATATCCAGTCAAGAGTTAATGAACAAGATCTACAAGATCTCACAGACAGTGTGATGAATGAGGTCCGACTCATTCATCCCATTCTTTTTGAGTCGCACAATCTGTGTGACCTAGCAAAAAATCTAAAGCTAAACACCTTTTCTATCAAGATGCTGGCTGATGTCTGTGCTTTTTTTGGGTTAGACACTACGTCATTGAGAAAGAGAAAAAAAGCCTACATCGATCTTTTATATAACGAAGTACTTCACCATTGTAATTGCATGTGAAAACGTCAGATGTGTTAACTCCTGTACAATTTTCTGAAACAAATTTTAATTCTCATTTACTTCGTTTTTTTCCAATTTATTTCGCATTCTTTTCCTTAAGTTTCGATAATCTATTGATCTTCAATATTGGGCTCCTTGTGTCAAGATTGAGTTCCATCAATGCCATAAAACAACATTTATTTCATTGATCCGAGTCAAGAATAATGACATGAATCAAAAACACTTATTCAAAGAGGGCTCTACACAAAGTCTATACCGACTTGGTAACTGTCCCTACCCTAGTAAGTCGAGTTTTGTTACAACATTTAAATATATTCAAATTTTGTTGACATTATTCTTGGATTGTGAGTGGAAATCCTACAATGATAGTAGTAAAACAAATAGCACCAGTACTTTTGAGGAAAGGAGAATGATTAAGCAGGCTAGTCCAAGCCTCGACAAAGAACATATATACGTGGAGATCATGTTTATAGTTTGGACAAGAGACGCAGGCCGACATAGCGACTTGAGTTGTATACACGTGAGAGKTTGGACAGTCGATCGTTACAGTTGCACGCTATTTTATAGAATTTACGCTTTGTTGAACAACTGGAACCCTTTTCAAGGTAAAATTTATAGTTACGAAGGTTTTCTATGCATTTCAAGATAGATTAGTGGCTATATACAAATAATTGTGTAGTCTTGTCAGTGTTTCGTTTGTTATGGCGGTTGACCTCCAAAGGTCAAATATGGACGCTTTTGTCGAGCTGTAGCACAACATCTATTTATTTCCCCAGAATAAATTTTACATCAATTAAAAGCCCGTTCCTTCACCATACAGCAGGCAAAGATTCATTGGATTCAGAGCTTTATCGCATAGTTAAATTTGACTTTGTTTAGGGGTAGTTGAAAGTACAGTAGAAACATGGGCTGTTTACATTCGACTCGCTCGACATTAAAAAGTCTCTCAAATTACATGACTGTCACGCTAGTAAACGTTTAACAGATGCAAAACAGGATTTAAGAGGAATAAGCCGATTTTTAGAACTTTTTGTAACGAAATTGCACATATAGAATCGACTGTGTTTTTGGCGTGAAATTAGCGAATTTCATGTTGTTCATAATAAACGCAATTTTCTTAAAATCTAAAATCTATTTTGCTTAAAAAACTATACAGTGTACATAGGGATATAATAAAGTATATCTGGACAAAATTTGAGCTAAATCAAATTCGGACCCTTGGCCACCATTTGATCGATATTTGCTGACATGCACTCTTAAACTCCGCATGCTCAGTGTAGTGTTGCTATGGAATACATCATTTGTTTATCCAGATTTTCGCGGGAAGCCAGGAACGATTCGATTCCGATGAATTTTCGGCCTTTTCGACCACTGTTCGTCCTCAAATCAATACAAAGTCGTCAGCTGTTTTGAAATACAACACGAGGAACAAAATGGTCGCCATTTCTTGCGCGACTTCTGTCAGTTTAAATTAAGATTTAATTCAAATTTTACCCTTGTTACTCACTCGAAATAGAATAACTTTCGTTCTGTTTGATATTTTTGCTTGATATTTGGTAAAGATTCAGAACATTTATCATATATTATGAATTAAAGAAGCCGGAGCTGTGTATCAAATCCCTAGAATTTTACGGCCCATTTCGCAGATCATCCCAGAAAAACCGAAATATTTTTTCTTTCACTCCGGCTTCTTTAATTCTTATGAAGGTTCAAAAACAGTTTATAAAAAAGTTGTTTTGAATCTCATGTTGTTAAAATCTGAAGAGATATTTACGTTTTTTTTAAGTTCTTCAGGATGCCTGTCTTGTTTTCACACCTTAGGTGTGAAATCTGGCACTCTTAAATTAACATTCCGAAAAACAATTTTATATACAAGCTAGTTATCAAGTTCAATTTGGTCTAAAGTGAATACAGTTTGAATAGTTTTTTTTTTCAAATGACACCCACTTTTGCCAGTCCTAGTACCTTAAATGCATTATATTATCATTGCCACATGATTTCAATCTGTCCTATGTAGAGTGCATTGAAAGTTTTGCAGTATATTTGACAATTGAAGAGTGAAAACTTTTTTAATTAGTACACTTTTTGTGGAATTTCAGTTCCAATATATTTGACAGATATAATAAATGCACTCTAGTACACATTTTAGGCTAATGAAAAACATTCAGATTAATATCAACATTGTGTCAATTTGTCTGAGTAGAATCGAATAGGACAGTAAAACATTGATAATTGCTTTCCCAAATGGGAGTCTGCTGAAGTAGTGTTTGAGTCACATTGACATGAAGGAGGGTTTGAAGGAGGGTTTGAGCCCAATTTCAGGGTTTATTCGTTCCCTGAGGTTGAAGAATGGCATGCAGTCAGGACTGCACTTGTGTAATAAGCCATTGGCAAAGAAATCGTATGCTTTTGTTAGCAAACAAACCATGTTAAGCGCCCAAAAATCTGAAATATTCTTTAGAAACACCAAACTTACAAATGCATATAAAGTTGTGCCTAGCTCTAGCCACGTTAAAGAGTTTGTATACAATGTATAAAAGAGGTTTACAACTAACCTTCGAAAAATGAGTCGAGTCAGAAAGTGAGCTTCAGTAATATCCAAATTCGATACCGCTGACAGAAGAGATCTCCTTGACGACAGCCACATAGATATGGTTGCAGTTCCACCATCGTCACTCATACTTGATGACATAGTGACAAGAGTCGTTTTCAGAAGGCCTTCGTCACAAAAAGCATCAGCAAAGCGCTAGCTACATTTCCAAAAGAGCTCCATTTTCTCATTTTCTCTGGGTGCTTTTTCGAAACCATTTATTAACAAAGAGTTAGCCAAAACTCTTGAACTGTAAACAGTTTCCATAAATAAACGTATACCTCAATTGCATCGCCCGTTGATATCTTATGACGGCGTDCATCTTAACAGGGAGGGGCAGCATAGATTTTATTAGAGTATTCGTGGGGCAGTCTTGCAAGGATTAAAGAAATTGTCGCCTAAGGTTTAATTGTTTCCATGCCCGATTCTATAATTAATTTGTGTAATTTTACACATTGCACTATTTTGACAATGTATTCATGCAGCTGGTTAACTGAGTTCTGATTTTGTGACCATGTCAAAGTGGCCTTTGGCATTTGTCAAGCGGCCTGTTCTTTGCAGGAATGCTGTAAATTCCCTTGCGGTCTGCATYTCCTTTATTATCATGGTCTTAATTTTGTTTGCGTTATCAAAGTACCAATTGAGTGTACAATCATGCCATATGGCCGGCGACCTTCGGGTGTGCCATATCACTCGGTACTTAACGCGTAATCTCTTGTCATATTGACAGGTTTATAGTACAGGCTCATTTATAGTTGACCCTTATTGTTGCTGCTGTCATTGTTTTAATTTCACTTTGTTATAATGTCATGGGCTATCTAGGCTATCGGTTTCTAAATTCTTGTTTTTCTGCCTCTTTCCATTTCAATTTTTACTGCCGTGTTGTTATGCTGTAATCTGTGCTGTTTACAATTTGTCTTAAGAATGCCTTCATCGTCGGGTAAAACCCGTTCAACTGCTGGACGACCACCTAAACGACGAAGGACACGCGTTGTCAGAGAGCAGGAAGAAATTCCACCAGACCAGGCTGTTGAAGGTGGCCATGATCGTGCTCCCAGAGTCGCTGAGGATTTCGCTTCGGTTGCCGTACAAGCTGACTCTTTAACATCTACATCTTAACATCTACGATCGTCGCAGCGGTACGAGCCGCTTTGGGAGCGCCACCTACCAGCCAACATAATTCTGACCCTGTGGAAACTATCGTCGACCAGGACACGCTAGCAATAGCAGGTAGCGAGATAGTCCAGTCCTGGCCTCTCGTTTTATCAGAATAAAGTTAAATTTTGAGAGCCCGCAATTTGTAATGGTCAGTGGTTTGTTTACTTCACGTGCACGCTATATCCTGTCAAAAATTCGAAAAATAATGGCGGCAGCTTCGGCTTGCAGGTTTTGCACTAAAACTTGCGCTCTAGCCAGGCGTTCAGTTCTCTATAGTGCTTACGGTGATTACACTGAAGTAGTATTTACATTTTTTTAAGGCATAACTAACGGCATTTAGAAAAGCCGGTCCAAAATTATCTTTGTATTTCAAGTGGAAACTACCTTCCACCGCGCTCTCCGCCATCTTGGTAATTGTATAGGACTAGGTAACCTCGTGATTACCACATCGGTGTGGTAATCACGAGGTCGCTAAGCTGACATGCGCATGCAAGTTATACTGGACTCTCTTTCCCCAGCGAYTCMRCGAGCGTCGGAAACGAGAGGCCAGGACTGGACTAGTAGCGAGAATAACGTAATGTATCCCCTGGGGCTCGTCCCACCGTCGGAAGGCCAGACACAGCTCACCTTCGAGCCAACACATACGCCGAAGAAAATCGGTTCCATCGATAAGTGGTTGTCTGTCTTTCATATTTTTGTGGCGGTGTATAGCGTGAAGTGTCCAAATGACACCCCGCACTTGAAATATTGTGAAACCGTACGCGATATCGTCACACATTGAGTCGACTGGCTCTATTATGATGAGCAGTTTCGGTTCCGAAAAGACCACTTTTCGACAAAAAAAGCAAGAATTCGCTGCCTTTCGGAACCTGCTGGAACCATCATCTTTCTTACCCCGAAGGGGGCTCCATTAATGATTATATTCCTAGTGAGAAATCTAGCGTTCRTTAYGMTTCAATCAGTGATGCAATTTCTAAAATAAAACAAATCGGCTCCGAATAATTCCTATGCACCCCGATGATTTTACCCTATTGGGCATGAAATGGAATAACAAATACTTCTTTGATCGCTGTTTCCCTATGGGCTGTTCGTCGTCATGTGCTATTTTCGAAAGTTTCAGTACTGCTTTAGAGTGGATTGCGCTACATTGTTTAAGCGCATCGGGTGTATTGCACATTCTGGATGATTTTCTTTTTATCGCGGATTCGAAAGAGAAATGTCGACAAGACTTGAATAATTTTATCAGTATGTGCCAGAGCATTGGAACG